AAATCTACTTGTTAATAACATTCCCGTAGGTTTTAAACTTGATACAGGTGCAGAATGTAATGTAATTTTCTCAGATTTGGCTACTGAGTTGAATGCTCAGGTACAGCCAACAAGCATGCTACTCAAATAATTTGGGGGGCACCAGTTAGATACTGTGGGCAAATGCCTTACTGATACGAAGGTAAAAGGGGGTAAGGGTTCAACACCCTTGGAGTTTTATGTACTCCGAGATAATGTAAGACCCCTCCTTGGTTTCGAATAATGCTTAAACCTAGAACTAATCACCTTGAATAACAAAGTAGAACAAATAGGTCTCAGTGTCAATGAATTTCGAGAAAAATTCAACCTTCTGGATGAATTTAAGGATGTTTTCAAAGGTTTAGGATGTGTTGAGGGAGAGTATAACATTAAGTTGAAGACTAATAGTAACCCTACTATTCAACCACAACTGAATGTCTCATTAAGACTGATAGATAAACTCAAAGGTACTCTCAAGGATCTTGAAAAAAAAGATATTATTGCCAAAGTAGAGGAACTAGTTACCTGGGTTAGCAATTTAGTAATCGTAGAAAAACCAAACAAAACTCTGAGATTGTGTCTAGACCCACCAGATCTTAAAGAAGCCATTGAAAAGGAAGATTTCAAACCACCAAGTTTTGAAACAATTTCAAGTACTCTGAGTGGTTGCAAAGTTTTCTCGGTTGTTGACATGTCAAATTGTTTTTGGCACCAAAAACTTACGGAAGAATCGTCATTTCTCTGTGTGTTCAATTCGCCTTTTGGCCGATTTCGTTTCAAAAGAATGCCATTTGGTATTTCATGTGCAAGTGAAGTGGCCCAGAAAATGGTTGAAAAACATTTTTGCGATATTTCAGTTTTCGATGATATCATCATTGGAGGTAGAGATAAACAAGAACATGATATGATATTGAGCAAGGTGTTGACAAGGGCACGAGAGCGCAATATCAAATTTAACCTAGCCTGCAGTGCCAGCGTATTTTGGGCGCACGAGTGCACATTATNATTGAAGACATGGTGTCTTGTTGTGAAAAATGTCTGAAATATCAAAGTAAGCAGTCGAAAGAACCCATGCAAACTCGACAAATCCCAATATTGCCCTGGCAAATTGTTGCATCAGATGTGTTAGAACACAAAAATCAAAACTACCTTGTGGTCATTGATTATTATTCAAAGTACATTGAGGCTATTAGGCTCAATGGCAAAGCCAGCAGTGACATTATCAGGTGTCTAAGTGAAATTTTCTCAAGACATGGTTATCCACAAACTATAATTGCGGACAACATACCCAGTAACTTCAGAGAAATGAAGGAATATGCTACGCAATATGGCATTAACATGATAACAGCCAGTCCCACATATAGTCAGGCAAACGGTCTTGCAGAAAAGGCGGTCAACATTGTTAAAAACTTACTAAGAAAGGAGTGCAGTTTGAATGAAGGTCTGATGGAATACAGCAACACACCAATAAGCAATTTTCCTTATTCACCTAACCAAATGTTATTCAGTAGGCAAATCCGCACAAGAGTTCCTGTTCACCCCTTGGTCTTAGTACCACAGAACTGTCATGATGTTCCAGAATTACTAGAAAAACGACAAGCTGAATACAAAGAATTCTAGGATCGCGAAGGCTCCAAACAATTACCTCAACTTAAGGAAGGGGATAGTGTAAGGTTCAAGAAACCAGGTGACAAACATTTGTCACGTGCTATAGTTACAGGAAAACATGACACACCCAGATCGTATACGATTACTGATGAAACCGGTATCGTAGAAATAGACGTCATATTCATCTTACTCAGGAACCACTTGTTGCCATATTAGATAATGATCTCATTGATGATTCACAACCTGTAACCATGCAATCCAGTGTAAGCTCTCCAAGTGTAACTAGAGAATCACATGCTAACCTGGAACCAGACCTACCCGATACTGATGCCTCCTCGGTTCCACGTCGCTCTACTCGGGTCAGATCTGTTTCGGTTTGGCATAAAGATTATGTTATGTAAAAGAGTTGTATTTTATATTAATCTACAGTTGAGTTGTTGACATCTTGTTCCAGTTTTAACTTGTATTAGCATAATGTCATTAAGACAGCCAAATAGCTTACGAAGGGGGATGTTATGATAAGTGGGTTGTAAGTCACGTGATCTCAGGGACCACGTGCAGTGTGGAACTACGGAATAAAGCTCTTGAAGTTGAACTCATAACATTTTGTTTAGACTCAATAATTCTGTAAATAAACAGAAAAGGTGCATTATGTTTCCACTCAAACACCTCTCACATGTGTTGATTTTTAGAGTTGACTAAGGAGAAAGAGTAGTAAGCGGCGAACAAAAGCACTAGGATTCTAGAACACAACTGCCTTGCTTATTTCCACCTCGTGGTATCTCTCGTTACCTATCATAATTTATGCTAATTATGACAACCAGATGAGGTAGCCAATCAACAACATGATCACCAGTAAGGTGGCTCTGTTCCCATT